AGAGACAGCTGCTATAGGTGAGAAAGCGAAGAAATGCAGAAAACTTGTCCACTCTAAGTTAGATGGTAGAATAGTACTATGTGAATTTCTGTGAAAAACTGCATCCAATGAGAATTAACGACCTGTAACAACTTGAAAAAAGGTCTCTACTAGAATGCTGCAAGATCGCTCACATACATTTAATATATAAAGATAGCTAGGAAATGCATAGAAATAATTATCATCACAATTTTATATAACACAGAACTGGAACAGATAGTCAATAGTATAAATGAGAAACTCAAGAGGTAGCTATAATTGTATCATCTCTGTAGGCTAGAACTGTACCCTCAGTACCTAGTGCAGTGTTTGGTTGCTAGTATTAAGTAAAAATTTGTAGAATGAATAAATAAAAAATACATATAAACTTAGATACTGATTTTACTTCATAGTTTACTAAGTGCTTTCATGTAATGTTTTACTCATCTGAGCTTCAGCCTCTTCCTCAGTGAGGAAGCTGAGAATCAACGATGAAGCCCAAGGTCACAGAGGGCAGAGCCGGGGCTCCAACCTGGGCATTCCCACTTCCCCCATGCCTCCAAGCTTAATGGGATGAGCATAAAACCATTCATTTGGGATGAAAGAATTAAAATGTCCGAACAGCATGGAAGAGACCTGACTCGATAACAGTACTGTCTTCTACAAAAAAATTCGTAGGGAGCTATTTGATCACAAGTTTAATATGAACCAGTAATAGAAAGTGCCCGTCTATTAAGCATGTGTTAGATGATAATTTTACCTTACTCTGGTTTGGTGGGCCCTCATCTGGAATACCAGCATGTTCCATTTGTAGCCTCACATTTTCCATGATGGAAGAAACTGGATATGTTTAGTAGGAAAAAGAAAAAAAAGATAAAAGGCAGTCGTAAAAGCTGTTTTCAAGTATTTGAGGGGATGTCCCACAGAAAAGGGAAATATCTTCTCCATTGCTCCAGAAAACTAAAGTAAGACTGATGCTGAAACTATGAGCCAGGCCTGCTAGGTTATAGCAACTGAAGTCCAGAGTACACAGGCTTGGCCCTGACTTTTGCCAGAACAGACCTTGAATAAATTGGGGACTTTTTCCTCATAATCAGTGGTCTGGAATTAATTTTGTTATCCTAAACCTAAGCCTGGTATTTGGTACGCAGACATGCAAATGCCTCTCATTCCCTAAACTTTCTCTAACATGTTTGCCTCGCATGAATAGCTAGGTCTTGGCCTTGGCATATTGACAAGAACGCACCAAGCTCTGAGTCATATCCGATGGCTTTCCCATATCCTGAGAGCCCCTTCTGGGCCCCAGACCTTGGAGTGAGGATGCTCACATACAACACACCAGACAACCTGGGACAGTCCCGGTGTAATTATTTCTAGTATCCGCTTTCACTCCGTGTTCCAGTTTGGACAATGAATTATATAGTCAGTTGGGTGCCTAACTGATCTGTCCTAGAAGTAAATGCCACCGTAGTTGCAGCATCCTCAATGGTAAAGTCCATCCAGGTCCCAGCCGGCCAAACATGAGGAAGGATATTCTAACAATTCAAGGTGCTTAAGTATGTACAAAGCCACGTTGGCAGGTAGTAAAACTGCCTGTCACTAGCGTTCATAGTAGAAATACTCAGAACACTTTATAAGTCGTGTTCATTTGGGAAAGTTTAATGACTGTTTTTCAGGGATGTTGTCAAAGTGCTTCTTGCTCGAGGTCGGGAGTTGGACAAGGGAATTTTTCAAGTGCCTTCCAACTTCTACTTTAGTTCATTTATGAAATTTGGCAGAGGGAAGGGAAAGGTCTAGAAGGTAGCCAAGCCTGAGGTAACCATTTTTCTCTTAGCCAGGTATATTCCCATAGCTTTTGTTAAATAAAAGAGGATCACACTAATAAGTTTCAGATACTTATCTAAATAAACTATAATATAGTAACTGACAGATATTAGAGTCGTAATACAAAAATAGAGAATAACTACAGAAACATTAGGGAGATTATAATATTAATTTACATTACATACTCCTTAAAAATCTGATAGCTGTAAAAATACATCCCATTCTTCTTGTGGTTAGGAAGATGTGACAAGGATTTGATTCCTCTTTGATTCAAGCTCCCAATCTGTTCACTGTTGTTGTTTTTTTTAATCTTCATAACAATAGAACAATTTTAAAGAAAATTATCTCTCCAATTGAAACAGCTGATGTCTCATAGGATTTCAGGTTTTGGTCCCTTTTCTTTTTACAGGGAGTAATTTTTGTTGTTGTTGTTGTTGTTAGATATTGGAATACCCCTTCCTCTGGGGAAAAAATACTTTCTGCATATCAGAGGAAAAAGAAATTCAGTCCAGTAGCATAGCTAACTCATTGAAGAACACAAGCTTCAGCATCATAATTCAGACCCTATTTTGTTGATGATTATAGTATTGTTACAGATATGCTGTTTTTTACAGAGATCAGAAAATCTTTTTTTTTTAAATAAATTTATCAGGATGATGTGTGTGATCTATTTGTTGGAGATTTTCCTTTTTGTATTTCATTGCACCAGATAGTCCAATAATGTTTTAGCAAAGTCTCTAAGTTGATTGTTTTAACTGAAAATGCTAAATATTTCTTTCCTGCAAAGAAAAATATATTTGTAGTTTTAAAGGACAAATAATACAAAGCAGTTTTTAATGAAAAATAGCAGACCTTGGAAGCCCACACTTTTCATGGCTGGGTGCTGTACCCACCCCCAAAAGGTACCAACAGCTTTCAATGCATTTAGTTGTTTCTCTGGAATTTACCACTGTATTTCTAAATTTATTCTATACTAATATTTCTGGGGTTTTCAGTTTTCGATATTACCTATAGGCTTTATACTACTATTTCCACCCATATTTTCTCTCCCTTATTCTCCTAATATATTTTGGTTACATTAATATGACTTAGTAAATATTTGTCCCAGAAGAGCCATGAATGATGCTTTTATTTTTTTGTGCAAGTAGCCCAATTTTTCATTCCCTTGTTTGTTTTTATATATCATCTATTCTTCCCCTAAACCTCTGACAAAGCTGTAAAACAATTCCCAGGCATTCTATTGCCTTTTCCCCTTGGAGACTTCTTTCCTGTGGCACTCCATCCTCCTCCAGTTCTGAACTGGCAGTTCTCTCATGGGGATCCTGGGGGATCCTGGGTTGGCCTGTTTGCCTGCTTCTTGGATTGATGCTCCTGCTTGATCCCTTATTTTCCTCTTGATGGGTCTGCTCCTTCATTTTGTTGGAGCACATCTTCTAGGAGCTTCCTAGTCCATGAGACCTAAATCTTTTCTGATGTTGCATGCCTAAAATGTATTTATTCCCCTCTCATATGATCACAATCTGGTTGTATTTTAGTTTGGAGATAATTTTCGTTCAGAATTGTAAAGACCTTATTGCCTTCTTGTTTCTAGTGTTAAATCTTGAGAAGCCCAATTTCATTCAGATGTCCAGTTCTTCATGTGTGATATATTTCTTTCTGGAAGCTTTAAAAAATCTTCTCTTTATTCCCAGTGATCGGAAATTTCTTAATATTCTTGGTATAGTTTTTTTGTTTTTGTTTTCCTCCTCATTCATCATGTAGGGCATTTGATAAGCTGTTTAAATCTCATTTTAAAAAACTCTAATCCTTTAGTTCTAAAAATTTTTCTTATGAGATTTCTTTTATAATTACCGTCCTTCATTTTCTCTGTTCTCTCTTTTTAATATTCAAATATTTAGATGTAGGATCTACAGGTCTGATCCTCTAATTTTTAAAAATCTAATTTTTCCTATTATCTACCTCTGTTTTGTTGTTGTTGTTGTTCAATATATATTCTGGAAGATTTCCAGAAATATATGTTTCCATTTTCTTTTTTCTTCCCTGTTTATTTGTTTTGGTGGTTATCTTTCGCAATATTGACTTTACTCAAATGTCTAGTGATCTTTGACTGTTCACATGCGGGACATATGATGAATAGAAATCAATCGTTAAAAAGACTGGAAATATTTGAATACAGACTGGACTTAATGACAGTTTTATTTCATTATAACATTATTCAGTGAGAACCTGGGCATACCATTAGTTAGGCTTGCTTATTTTCCCTGAGATAAATGCTCACGTTTTGTACCTGGAGAAAGATGCTAGCTGCTTATTATACATTGGGAGCTGGACAAGGGAATAGAGTAGGAATCTTTTCTATTCAATGTAATCTACTGATTTATTCCCTGTTTGCAGGCCCTTACCATATTCTTGTTCTGCTTTCTGCCTAGTGTCATCTAATCCTGAGTTTCTCTGACTCAGTTTCTCCAGAGATTAAACTTCCTTCCTTCTGACTGGGCAGTGGTGATCATCAGTTTGCATAAGATGAAAGTCTAAGTCTTGAGTGACTGTACTATATCTCTCACCTTTCAGAGGTAGCTGGTACCTGCAATTCCTGAATTGTTTCTCAAGTTCAGAAGTATGTATCTGCTTGCTTTTTCATTGACCTCCCCTCATCATGTAGTTAGGTTTCAAATTCCTATGGCCTGCTAAGACAATTGCCACTTGACATCTGCTTCCCATCCTGAAATTTTTTCTTGTCATCTTTCTTTTGTTCTCCTTAAGGTTCTATACCTTATTTTGATTCCTTTATCACTCTTTTATTGAGGCTTCAGAAAGAGTGCCTATAAAGCCATGTATTCAATCTTTCATGTAAACCAGAATACCAGAATCCTTTTTTTTTTTTTTAATAGTGAAAGATGACAGCTCTGAGTCATCTAAAGACACAGACAAAAGTATCAGGTAAGTTTTTCTTCATACAATTCTATGCCAATTTTTTTAACAAAGAGACTATTGATTTAAAATGTTTATATTTTTCTCATAATTGAATTTCATTTTTTTAACTTAGAAAAGGAAGTGTAGATATCTTTTTCTGTTACAATACCTTTTAAAAATGTTTTCGGGAAGAATGTAGAAATTTATTAAATTCTTTCTAGACTATTGAATTAATATAGAATGTAACTATATGAACTTACCTATTCTTTTAATTTTAATTTTTTATTGTTAAAAAATAAAAGCCTGTTGTCAATATAATGAGAACAAACCATTTTAAATTGCAAAAATTCAAGCAATTTCAGAGAAGATAAGGTTGTAGAGGGAAATGGTGAATGTTAAGGCTGAAACCATTGGATCTTTTGAGAGACAACCTGACAATATGACATAAATTCAGCCTTGAACACTTGGACAATGTCTAGGTCAATATTCTCATCTATGGTTCTGCAGCATTAATTTCTTAAGCATTTCCATTAGCCTTAATTTGACAGTCAATCCGCTGTAGAAAACAATCAATTAGTGTGGACATAATGCTTGCTTCAGCTCAGGTTTCCTTGACTGGCCCTGAAGGAGGAGTAAAATGAGGTAACTTAAGTGGCTTCTGTTTGTAAAAGTGTTGGAAAATTTCAGGAAGGTGAGCATGATCTAGCGAGCAGTCCACTATGTTGGGATTCAGTAGAGGATATTGCTGCCCCTTCAACTTGTTGATGTGGAGAGAAGCAACTGACCATCCTGGCGCAAAATAGACCTGCGATAAATAGCTGTTGAATGCATAAACACTATTTTATCACCTGTAAAACATGAATGTCCCTAGAATATCACAAAGTTTTTTCTATTTGTGATATAATTATTAACAGTACATAAAGATACAGTGCCAGCATTTACTAATAAGGCAGTAAGAGCAGACCAGAAGAACTTCTGTGATTCTAACTTCAGCAGGTACTCCAAACCAAACCTAGGATAAATGAAGCCAGAGTCAGGTCTGATTTGTAGTGTTCACCTAGTGCTAGCCTAAAATCTCTAGAGAAATCTCTGGAACTCGAAGCAATGTAGTCTAAATTTCAATGATACTCTGTACGCCTAGTATACAGCAGGCTGCAATTTATTATGTGGCTGTGACTTCTAATATTTTCCCCTAGAATATTTGTTATGGGATAAAGCTCAGTTATGTCTAGCTTTTAGTTTTTACATAGAGCATTGACAGTGAGGTCTTACAGAAATTATTCAAAGAAAGATATTGCTCTTTGTATTGTCAGACTAGCACCATATGCTAGAGCTTTACTTCATGAGCTGGAAGGGCTGCTCTGGTTTTAGAAGTAGATTCCAGAGGTATAGCCAAGCGATTGAAACCTGCTTCCAAAAGATATAACAAAACTTAGGCAAAGTCCAGTCAACTGGGCAGAAAGAATATAGTCAGGGGAATCCAGCTGATGTTCAGTAATTGAAAGTGATTTAAGCTTGTGCTTATCATCTGGGAAGTTTTCCCTTGATAAGATACAGGGCAGCCTCTGGGAGGGCATCTACTTATTCATTTATTTAAAATGCATTCACTGAGCATATGCTCTGTGCCAGGCACTGTGTTCTAGTGTTGGGGATACACACCTGAATAATATGTGATCTCAGATGTTACTAGATTTATTCTCTAAAATTGGAAACTCTCCTCTGAATAGGAGACAGTACAAAGCACGTGCTTGACTACTGGTCCCACAGGACAACACAGGGAACATCTGCTACCAGGGGATGTAGTTGGACAACCACAGGGCAAATATCAGGATCATGGCTAAGGGAGAAATGTTAAAGTCATATGGAATCATATTTAAAGTGAGTCATATTCAGTAGAAATTTCTCCTGTAGCTTTTATTTTTTGTAGGCCTCTTTTAGAAGCCTTCACCTTTTTACCAAGTTATCTACCTCTGGTATCACCTTCGTTAAATGCAATCCAACATTACACTGGGCCATGCCTGTCAATTGTTGTATTACATTAATATCTAGAATATAATAAGTGCTATTATGGAGATAAGATCAAGATGCTGGGGGAGAAATATATTAGTAAAGCTTGGAGGTGGGGTGGGGCATATAAAGGCCAGCTTCCAGGAGGAGGCAATGCCTGAGTTGATTTCTAAAGGTAGAATAAGAATTCACCTACAAGCAAGAGGAGAAGGCATTTCAGGCAGAGGGAATAGCTCATTCAAAAGCATGGAGATTTTAAGAGGGCATATTTCCCACAGCCTGACCCAAAGGAAGTATCTTGACATCCAGAATAAAAAGTGAAAATGAATCACATGGGTGGTAATCACGCAATAGAATATATAGATGTCAAATTATAATGTAAACCTGAAAATTATATAATTGTATTAACCAATGTTACCCCAATAAACTTAAAAAAAAGAAAAGAAAATGAATCATAAATGCCAGAGGCAATCAAAATGTTTTGGGAGCTGAGATGCAAAACCAAAGGGGTAAGGGAGAGGGGATTGGCTGCTAGATAATCAGAAGAAAGGAGAGTGAGACATAGAAGGTCCAAATGTTAAATATTCCTGTGTGTGGGGTGGGGGTAGGGGGTGGCTAAATAATTTAAAGGGGCAGGCAAAAGATAAAACTTGGGGGATCTAGACAGAAAAGAGCATGACATTTGCATTCCATATTAAAAGTCCTAAAACAAGTGCATGGCTTTGACACAGCAATTCCACCACTAGAAATTTATCTTTAAGGATGTAATCGAACAAGTGCATAGATTATAAGAATGTTGATCATAGACTTGCTTAAAATGAAAAATTGAAAACAGAAAGTTTAACAAAATGAATTGATTAAACACATTTTGAGTTAGCTGTATAATGTCCAAAATGTATGTAAATGTATGTTGTAGACATGATTCTGCAGACTTATTAACATTAAAAGTAGGTGAAAAGAGTGGGTTATAAAATAATATATATGGTATTCTCTTTCTTTGTCTCTCTCTCTCTCTCTCTCTCACACACACACACACACACACACACACACACACGCACACACACACGCACACACTGAAAAGCAGTCTAGCATGGCAAGCAAAAGAATCCAATCCCATTTCCTTCATTTATTGTGAGCTATGAGTCTAAGGTATCTCTGTATGTTAATAACAGTAAAAGATTCCTAAGAGACTAAAATCTTTTAAAAGAGCACATTGGAGAAGGAAACTTCAGGTCAAGGCTCTGTCCCAGAACTTGAGAAGATGTTACATCTAGGGTACTGTGCCTGCAAGTGTTAGAAGTTCAGAATTAGGAGACCTGGAACAGCTGACAAAGGGATTAATTGGGATATGGCAGCAAGAGCACTGACCTTGTCCATCCCCCCAGATGAGGAATAGCCAGTAGAAATGATAGGATCTGTCTTAGGCAGGAGCAATGAGTGCATGAGCTTGGCCTAAAAGGAATTCCTCAAAATAGTGACACCAATATGTTGGCAGTGGCTATTTCTCACTCGGGTGGTCAGAACTAGACATGGTGTTTGTTACTGAGTCAGTACAGAAGAAGAAAGGAAAACCCTGTTCTGGGAAGGAAACTTCGGCCCTTTAATGCTTTGTCTGGGGCAGTGAATCCCTCATCTGACAGGCGACCAGTTGGCAACATGGAGATCCAGCACTGATGACAGGACCATAAAACTTCAGGTCTGGGAGGACAGCTATAACTTGACTCAGAAGTAACTGAAGAACCATGGTGAGATAAATGTGTAGATAGCATTATCTTGAAAACTCAAGGTTTGTGAAATTGAAAGAAGAAAAAGCATGAAAAATTAAGAGAGAGTGATAACTTACAGGACTGCTGAGATTCCAGGCAGAGGGAATCACTAGTGCACAGACAGTAAATTGCTTATGAACATGGTGTATTAGAGGATCTGAAAAGAAACCACTGTTTAATTGGAACACAGCAAAGGGAAAGCGGAGAGGGTTAGGCCGAGAGGCCAGAGAAGTAGGCAAGGCCAGGTCACTTAGGTAAGAAATTTGGATTTTATTAGCCTTGCAGTGGAAATTGGGACACATTTGGATAGCTCTTAAGAAGGAGAAAGACACAATCAGATTTATATCTTTAAAAAAAACCGTTTTAACTGCCATGGGGAGATTGGATTGAAAGAATCTAAAGTAGAAGCAAGGAGAAAAATTATTAGGTTATTTCAGTAGACCAGGAGAGAGATGAAGGTGGTTTGGCTTAGAGTTGAGGGCATAGATGTGGAGAGGGAGAAAAGTAGATAATGTGGATGGATTTAAGGCTTGTTTTGATTATATGTAGGGTTTGAGAGAAAGTGGAATCAAGGATTATCACTAGATTTTGGGTTGAACTGGATGGGTACTGCTGTCATTTACTGAAATTGGGGAGACTGGGAGAGCACACACCCACCAATTCATAAAACTAACCATCCCATTTGTTGGCAAGGATGCAAGTCACCTGAGCCCTCCCACGTTACTGTACACATTGTTGCACCATTTGACGTGCTCACAGCCAGTTTGGAACACAGTTTGGTAGTTTTCATGATGTCAAACATTCACTACCTTGCGATCCAGCAATTCCCCTCCTAAGTATTTACCTAAGAGAAATGAAAATATATGTTACAAAAAGGCTTGTACACAAATGTCCATAGGAGCCTACTCATAATATCCCAAACTGCAAACAACTAAAATGACCATCAACAGTTGAATGTATAAATAAATCGTGTTATATTCATAAATCACATACTCCCAGCAATAGAAATGAAAGAACTGTTGAGATATGCAGCTGCATAGGATAGTAATGCAGACATGTTGAGTGGGGGAAAAAAATTTAAGTAATCAAAGGAGTACACATCAAATGATTTAATTTATATGACATTCTAAGACAGGCAAATGAATCTATAGTGATAGAAATCAGGTCAGTGATTGCCCAAAGTGTCAAGAGAGATTGACAGGGAGCGGGCAGTAGGGAACTTTCTGGAGCAATGAAAATAGTCTATATCTTGTT